TCAGCCCTACAGCGAATTTAAACTGATGTCAGAACCAGGACTGGACGGACCGACTGTCAGCATCCAGATAGAACAGGACTGATGGTTGATGAGCTGCTCAACAGAGTGACTGAACTGTTTATGAGGAAAGAAAGGAGGATGGAGGTGTGTTCAAATAATCACAAGTTTGGTGAGTAGAATATATATTATTGTCATTTTATTGGGCTGATGCTGATGCTCCTGTTAGATGGGATGTATATGGTCTTGTTGAATGTGTTTAACTGGGTTTCTTGCTTCAGTGATGGCTTTCATTCTCGCTACATGAGATACCAACGTCCTGTTGTGCTGCCTTTCTGCATCATACTGATAGTTTCTGTAGCCGTGGCGTCATAATGACGGCGTTCAGAGGTGGTTTGATTCAGGCAGGAAGCTACTGAAGGCCGAGGAGGAAAATGCACGGCCCACCACTGCAGTTTAGGTTTACTGTACTACAAACATAGTAGGAACTAAATGCAACAAAAGGTCCAAAGCATCATTTTTGTTCAGTTCTGTAGGTTTCCACCTTTACCTCTGATGACAAAAGTTTAAAAGTTCAAGCTTGAGGAGGTATTTTTAGAGATTCCAGCTCTTTGAACCCATATCGTTCTGCCTGTATCTTGTTTGAGTTCAATAATTCAAAGTGCCGGCCTGCTTCCACGTCGCGTCAGACGGAGGACCAGATATCTCTTTGTCATGAACACTTCGAAGCCATTTAGCTTTCAGGTTTTATTCAGCAGAAAAGTGCACGATACAAGTACTCACACCCCCCTCAACACGATTAGGAGCCTCATATTTAATTCATGCTCTTGACATAAGCGTGTTATTTTTTTTACTCGTGCATATTTTCGCTGAGCATCTTCTGATTGTTGCCAATGCAGTCAAACTGAGAGCAAACATGAAAACAGAGATTGTTAAAGCTTGAACTGTCACCGCACAATGAAAGGCGACGCTGTGCAGCACGCCTCCTGAGCTCCTGTGTGTTTTACGGAGTTTGTGTCTTTCTTGTAGATGACAAGGACACGAGCAGCATCCAGACAGCGACGCAGGAGGAGGAGGAGGAGGCAGAACAGCAGCTGTGGATAGAAATGAGGACATGGCTTCCTGCCACCATCCATAATCCACAGTGATCTGCAACATCATCCATCCTGAAATCAGACATCATCTGCATAGATTATTGGCTCCTTACTTCCTCTGTTGCTTTTTTAGACTTTACTGCCGTGTCTATAGCAAGATAAACTAGTTTCCAACTAAAAGCAGGTTTTACTTGATTATCGGTGCACAGAGCTGTGCATGTGTTCTGTTTTGACTCTATTGTGCTTTGCTGCTCCTCCTCCACACAGCTGACCTCCAGATTGTTAAAAGCGAGCGCATGAGACAATTGTCACACAGCGGAGTCTATTTTCCGGGAGGGCGGCTTTGGTTTTCTAACCAAACGCTGCGACACAAAAACCAACAGGACAGCGGTCACCGAGGTCAGCCAGAACCGTCCTACAACTGTGTGATGGGCAAAAGTGGAAATTTCCATCCTGAAGCAGCTGTGGGTCTGAATCATCGAGGAGCAGCTTCAACAAGGAATTCATCTGCAGGACTGCATGGAGGACAGAAATAGCCGCGGGGGCTTCCTATCAGAGAGGAAAACCAATTTATGTAAAGGACATGTAAGGGTGATGCTCCATAGTTAATAGTATAGCTATTATGAAAAGCACTTTTTTCTTTTGCTTTTTATTGGTGTTTCTACAGTAACAAAAAGGAAAAACAGGACATTTTCCCGTTAATTAATAGTAAATCCATATCAAAAGACATTTTTTTATTATTTAATCTTGTACCAGCTGTGAGACTTTCTGGTATATCTCCCGTATAAAAGCTGTAAATGTTAAATACTGTTGAGATTCCGTTCTTGTGCTTTTATTTTGGTTGTATTTCCTGTGTTTTAGTTTTGACGTGTTTTGCACTTTCAGGCTGGGCGGGGCCACGGTCCAGGAGGACTCCCTCGCTCATTATCCACCACACCTGCCCCGCATCGCAATCAGTGCTGCTTTGAAGCTGGCTTCTCCCCGTGATGCGGCGCCAGAGGATTCACTCCCCTGCTAGCGGTAGATCGGCCACGCTTCTTCTCGAGTTCTCGGGTTTATTGTTATTTATTTCCATGCTGACATTTTTTGTGTCGGTGTTCTCTGCAGAGCCTCCTCAGCCTGTCGTCCTGCCCAGCCATCTCGAGGCAACTACCACCACCAGCAGCCCTCCAGGTTTCCCACCTCTGGATCCAAGCCTTCATGAGCACCCTCTTCCCCGGAACATGGATTCACCCCCCAGCACTGGAGCACTTCACCGGAGCCCCCTAAGCCTTCTCACCTCCCCTCACCAAGTCCAGCCTGCACCAGCACTTCCCCCTCCTGCTTCCTTGGTGTCCTCACTCCTTCCCCGATTAAAAACCCTCTTTTAACCACCCACCTCCCTTGTCGCCTTTATTGGGTCCACTTCCTGTAAATTAGGAGCCAACTCCTAACAGAATACATCCATGAAATTAAAAACCAAATGTGCTCATTAAATGTGGACGTTTGCTGTTCGTGGTATCGACCCAGATGCAGAACCTAAAGACACACAGGAGGAGGATTTTAAAGAGTCCTTTACTGTCACTGCTCTTGGTGGTGGTGACGATCATGACAGCAGGAGGAGGTTTCATGGAGGTCTGAAGACGAGGCCGGTTTAGTGCAGAGGCTGACTGAATGTGTAGAGAATGGTGGAGGAGCTGGACAGGAGGTCAGGAGCTTATAGTTGGCTGAGTGGAGCTACCTGAGAGCAAGACACAAAACTAGAGTGAAGAGTCGGTCGAGGCAGAACGGTCTGGTGGAGAAGGGAGAGTTGAGATTTAATGCTTTAATGGTAGATAGATTTCAGGTGACTCTAGTGATCAGACACACATACATGGAGAGAGATCAGACAAACAAAGGAGAAGGACAACAAGGAAGTGAGTTAGACACAATCAGTTTGGTTCAACCAGTACTACACTTACAGCAATGACAGTGTCTGTTTCTGCTCATAATGCACCTTCTGTGAGAATAACTCTTCATCTGTGGACATTTTCTGTTAGATATGAATCAGATGTGTCAGCAGTCCCTCCTGGTGTTGGTGTGCTGACCACCTCATGCAGGACTCCAGAGGTGAAGCTTTAACAAAGTCCTCTGTGTTCACGTCTGATGTGTGATTGCTCAGCTGAGGACGATGAAGACGGGACCCTGCAGTGATCACCGTCCCGTCTCTGCTGCCAGCCTCGCTCAGGAATGAACATTAAAGAGGAGAACCTGCCACTCATGAGCCCCGCTGCCTCCAGGTGACCACATCACAGAACGTTCCCAGCAGAGCCCAAATCAAACCCTGGCTGCTCTGTTGGAGGCAAACACTGACGAGGTTACGTCCAGTCTGAGACCAGCATCAGAAGAACTCGAGCCGATGCATGCGTTCTATGTCCAGACACGTGCAGTCCTTGAAGGCGGACGGTGGAGGAACATGTGGTTCTGTTCATACCACTGACGGTACACACTGGTCTGCCACGTGGACGGTCGGATTGCCTCGATCTCAAACACTGACTGCCTGTGACTGTGACAGGATGCAGCAGCTGGATACAGACTCTGTGTGTGAATGTGATTATTCCTGAGGTGTGAGCGAACACGACTTCTGAAGTAATTAGGACTTCCTGCTGTGTTTGGGATCCATCGATGGAGAGAGTGTACGAATCAGAGCTCCTCCAGAGTCAGAGAACGTCACAGATACCCCACATAGACACAGAAAGCAGGAACAGGTTCATCATCTGATCAGATTTTTGTGTTTATTCTGAAATCCTTTTGTTTTTTTTTTAAGTTTTACATTCAGTTCAGTTCAATGTGTAGCTCTTTTAATAAGAAGTGTCAGTCAGCTGTGTCTTTCTGCTAATAAACATAATGTATTGGTATAAAAAAACACACATAATTTTAAATATGTCTAATTTTATATATTTTTTAAATGTAATGCTTGTTTTTTCTGTCACTGTAAATGCTGTTTTCTTGTTTTCTGAGGGTGAAGGTTGGACCTGAACGCAGCACAGGGTTAGGACCCCAATCTGTGAGGTTTATTGCTTATTTAAATAACCTTTCAGAAGACTTTTTTAATTTTGGAGGGTTTTTTCTAATTAAATGTATTTGATTCTAATTTGCTGGGTTTGAATCACTCCAGTTATTGAGTAAGATGGAAAATAATCCCACAGGTTTCACACGTATTTCTATTCTGTTCGCATTTAAATAAATCATTATAAACATTTTTCTCGTTAAACTACACTTTCGCTTTGGGACAGCTGAATGTTTTTGACCATATGTGCTAAACAGACACACATACAGTAACCCTGTCATAGTTTCCAACACTCTTGCTGTCATCAATATTCATCATTTAGATCCATGCGGTGGTGCATGTTAATGCTCATCCTGGTCCTGCTCACATGAAGCTAATTCTCAAACGTCTGCTCTCTCCGACAGAGTTGCTTCTCGAGCTGCATAAAAAGCTCTTGACAGCTTTCTCTCCTTTTCACCTGCACACCAGAATCAATGTTTCTGCCAGACTCCTTTGTTCCCGTCATCACGCTGACTTCACTTCTGCATTTATCGAATTTATCCACTTCAAGGTCCCGGCGTTATAAACCTTCAGCTTGCTTTATTGGAGGGCCGTGCTCTCTCGCTATATATGTTATATAGTCCATCATCCACTTGACAATTCACTGCAGGCTCTCAGGATATTACAGACAAACAAATCCCACCACAGCTCCAACTACATTCAGAATCTTGTTTCAACTGCAAGGCCAACTGCAAAGCAAGACGTGTCCGATCTCTGGACCAGCCGGTTGTCTCTATGTAGTCATGAGAGGTTTTTGAAGTCTGCAGAGCATCCTAACGCCTTCCCCACCGTTCCTATTGGTCACCTCTCATCCACTGTCATACATTTCATCTTTAATAAACAGTTCATTTGTACCTCATGTCATGACGTGGTCCTTCAAACACAACGTTAATTCTAACATATAATCAGTTAATAAAGTCAATGCAAAGCCTGATGTGACTTAAGTTACTGTGACTCTGCAAAAAACTCAAGACTCACACCGCAGACTATAACTACGGAAGCCGAGAGCGGTCATGGCTGCACATTTTTTTAAACGGCATTCATTTTCTCGAGATAATTATTTCGTTGTCTCGAGAAAATGGCATTCGTTTTCTCGAGATAGCGAGATAATTATCCCTGGATACTGATGCCTGTGTTTACAAAGAAACGAGTGACGCTCTGGAGTGCAGCAGTGACTTTACCGAGAACGGACTGAAAATGTCAGATGGAGGATCATCTGTCATTGATGAACGCATCAGACTTTACTTCTCTCGAGGTCTGACACAGGCTGAATGAAGTTGGTTTTCTCGAGATAAATTATCTCATTTTCACGTGGAAACGATTCTTGTTATCCCGAGATAACGAGAAAATTAACTCGTTATCTCAAGAAAATGGCGAAGAAGGAACAGCAGCGGAAAACGACCGCTCTCGGCTTCCGCACTGTAACTGCTTGGAGCTTTTGCACAAATAAAAACCTGTAAATGATGAAGAAGCAAGCCTAAAATACATGTATAAACAAAAACATGCCTGTTTTTTCCTTCGTGTGGTCAAATCTGACCATCCAACACGAGAATACAACAAACAATGATGAGTAGAAGACTTAGAACTGGTGGTAAACCTTAAAAATCGTATCTCCATAGTCCAACACTGACATAAAAGTGACAGCAACCAGTCTCCTTTTTGGCCTCAAAAGACAAGCAAGACTTGATTTTAAAATAAAAACCCAGGTTCAGTTTTAGTCTCTTTGCCAGCTGCTGGATGTGAAGGAGAGACAGTCGTCGATTAAAATCCCAACATACTGAGAAAAGGTTGTAGAAAAGCAGGAGGTGGACACGTCTTCCAGCCTCATGCCAGTGATCTTAGAGAGCACACTTCTGTCAGTACATTAATATTATCTCCTCGTGTTGTAAAGTCAACGCTGAAGAACTTCAGTAAAAAAATACATTATCATGCATTTATAGTCCTCTCGCCATATTCACTCTTCTTTCTGTTCTGCTTTGATTTCAAACTGTTCCTGGGGGAACTACTATCTGGGTTTTTCTTTATCTGCTAACAGCTCCACATGTTCAACAGCTAGACGTTAATTTTATCTGATTGTCTTTGATGTACGGCGGCTGGAAAAACTTTTGGTGTGGAACATTTAAATGCATGAGATCGGCTCTAAGCGACCCCCCAAAATATGAGATAAACTCTAACGACGCATC